AGGTTAAAGTGCCCCTGAGACGAAAATTGACCATTTTATTTTGGCCTAAATTGTTTACACAATGTTGAATTGGGTCAAGTTAAGACCCTTTTTGCCATTAAAAACTCAAAACAAACCTTCGATGACCAATTTTTACCGCTTCAAAGTCGTCCAAAAATCGTCCGCCATTGCTGAAAACATGTTCCAGCCGAGCCCGCAAAAACGTCATCATGACGTCAAAGGCTCAACAAACTTATGCTTTGCTTTGTCACAACTCTCTTTGTTCGCTGCACAGAGAATCACACATATTACTTTTTTGAGAACTGTTTCGTTGTCAGTCGGGAAATGTCGACTTTTTCAGACGATGAATTGTCCCAGAAATCATCTGAAGCTTCTGTGGATAGTTTTGCGCCGACAAACGATGAATTTTTGCCATGCGAATAAAGATAAACACAGAACGGCACGGACTCCCCATGTGGCTTTTGTGGTCGCATCGCTTTATCGCCTTCGAACTGTATTTTTGCTTGTCGTAAGGGATTTTCCTTTTTTGTAAGAAATGATCGGGTGATTAGTAAAAATAGTTTTCGGCAATGGCTAATTGTGTATCCGAAGGCGGATATTGGGAGTTTGTGAAAGCCATTTCTAAGCCATCAATGTGTTTTCCCCGATGCATTTGGTCAATGATCTCATTAACCCTTTCCTACGTGTTTTTTACTATCGGTGCTTTGAGAGGTTTGAAGTGAACTCTGTTGTTGAGTTGCACTTTGGCCTCTTTTGTTTTTTCTGTCTTATTCATGATGACTATTGTTGTGTTGCTTCGGTGAGGTTTAAAGCAGAGTTTGTTTCAACTCTTTTAGAGCCGTGACCTCATTGCGTTACAAAGTATTTTTTGGCTTAGATGCAGTCTGCAAGTAGCGTTATGACAATTTTCCAAGTAGCTCTGAAGGGCGATAGAAGACTGAACCGGTGGCATTCAGTTTGATATGAAACAGAAGTGGTTCTTTGTTTTGTCCGTGAAAGGTGTAACGGAGGCGCATTCGTCTTGCGAATAAATCTCGCAAAAGTTGGCCTGATTTTAAATTCGTTTGTCACGGGCGTTGGGATGAATTTGAGACCCTTTGATAGCACGCTGACTTGGCTGTCAGATGGTTGATAGTTTGACAGGTTTTTAAAGAAATTTTCATTTTCTCGGTTTTTTGGCTGCAAGCCTACATTTTAAAGTGTTTTTACGCTCTGTGTCTTAAGCTGTTTGTTCTGCTTTCGCTGATATTAAAGCCAGCTTTTTTTAGAATCAGAGCACACAATTATATTTTTCATCTCTTTTGTATAAAAGTGAGCTCTTTGAGGTCAGAAATCTCAATCCTCAATTCGGCTATTTTATCATTCTTATTTACAATGTTCACCGAGTACTTTCCTTTGTGTAAGGTATTCTGCCAGAGAGTTGTTAAAGGTGGATATTGATCAGCTCATATGTAAAGGTGACAAAATCCGTGGAGGTTCGTAGACTTCGCTTTCCGGCGTCGAGATCGCACTGAGGATGGTTTTTCTTGTCCCTTCTCTTCTTGAACGGTAGGCACTGAACCCGACAGAATTCTTCCCCTATATCCTTCAAAGTAAACAGATCTCTCGAAACAGTCCTCCGAAAAGTGTTCAGAATAGATCACAAATATTTCTGTAGGATTGAAGTTTACTCGGCGAGGTCGCATAAATCGCATCCGTTTTTCCCGCTCTGATCTATTTGCAAGGCGCCGATGCAGAGAAATACCTGCAGCATGGTCTGCACGATTACTTCAGCTTTGAATTACGCCTCGATGCCCAGTCATTTTTGTTTAGTTATTGTAAGAATAGAGTAAAGCACTCTGTTATGTTAATTTGCTTGACATTTTGCGATGTGAGATTTTCGCGTTAAGCCTTTGACGTCACTTCCTCTAAGTCCAACGATCAACTTCCGGAACATGGTCAAATAATGGCGGACGCGAAATCGTGAATTTAACGGCCCGAAAAAAGATATTTCTGATGCTCAGTCTAAACTGAAATTTGGCAGAGTAGGTGAAGGAGACACACTGAACACGAAAATGGAAAAAAATGATGTACAAAAATTTTGATCTTAAATGAGAGGTAGGGTTTATCTCCTTCGCAGACGGTTTTTAATATGCCACGTAACGCTCCTCAAACCGAGCGAAAGCGACGAAAACCACCAAAATCCTGTAGTGAATATTGTACTGTCCTGTGACTTGTCGTCTATTCCTTAATCCAGGGATTTGTTGTGAGGAATTAATTCAGCTGACTTCATCCCTAAAACATTACATATGATAACATAAACCTTTGCTGTTTGAGGTTCAAAGTTTTTGTACTGACTTAGATCTTTAGGTTAGACACGAAGTCACCCAAAAAATTCTGGTGGTCTGTTCTTTGGAAAATCAAATGGAATTGAAGCTACGAATTTTTTAAAATGCGTCAATTTGCGTCCTATAATAGAATTATGGGTAGATATTTGCGTGACATCTGCGTGATATCGCGCCCTCCAAACCGAGAGCCTGTTGGCAGGCTACTGAAAGCGAGGCTGGGTATTCCTGAGCTTCGACAAAGAGAAAGTAAATCATTATATGGAGAAAGATCTAAGATTAATCTCTTTTTGAGTATTAGAGAGCTTTTGTGGGAAGTATTTTGAATCAGGAGAAAACTACTTGAGGTTTTTTAAGCTTTGAGAGCGAACAGAAAGGAAAAGTACTGTACGTAAAGGCCAGGGCAAGTCGTGACGAGATCATACCAGAAGCGAAAGTACAAACATACGTGTGCTGTGCACTGATAAGGTATATACATGGCAGCGAGTGGAACAGAAACGCCAACTATCGAAAACATTGATCTTAAAGTCGACGACAATCCAGTGGAGGACCACATTAATATCGACGTAAAACAAGTCACGGAAGAAACGACTCCCTTAAAAGCTGATAGTGATGACGAAGAGCTTGAATTTGGATTCGGGAGAGACGAGCCAGTCTTTATCACAGATCAGGATATTGCCGACTTTCGAGAATCGTCGATGGAAAGATCAACAGAACTTTCACCTGACGCCAACAAGGCGTACGAAGAATGGATCTATGTGGATATGAACAAGTCTACCCACGAAGTGAAAGAGGACTTGCTTCTTTTGAGTTCAGTTTATGGAAAGGATCAAGTATGTTGTTGTGTTATGTGAACTAGAGAAGGCGTTAATTTATTTCTTGATCGAATGAAAGCCACGAAATATTCCTTGATTTCTATTGTGTAGCTTACAAAGCTTAGAAGGTGGGAGAAAGTGTTAGGAGATGGTTTCAGTTTAATTCATTTCAATATGTACATTACACGGTCAGAGAATTAAAGTAGATACATTACGAAGTTTATATCATGCATGATATGAAAGGACAGCCCTGTGTATCGTTTATTGGGCAGGGAAAGCAGAGAAATTTCTAGGGTAAAAATATGTAGGTATGCATTTTATTGCATGTAATTGCTTGCTCTCCTGATAATTTGTCAAGCAAGTTCTGTGAAAGGGCAGCAAGGGTTTGATGGGTAAAGAGTTTGTGTAGACAATTGTCCTATTGTTATCCCATTGCAGAGCACGTGATAATACTTGAAATTAGTTTATACTCATGTTATTACACCCTTGATTTCCCCAAAGGGGAAATATAGGATTTCAATTGGCAGGGCTGTGGTCTGGCAGTGCCCGGTAGCCCCTGGTGCCTTACTTTTGCTCTTGGGCAACCTAGGAATCTTAGTTTTTTCATAAAAGGCATATGCTGGGCACCCTGGATTTCACAGTTTCAGTGCACAGGGCTCCCTTTAATCTTTCTTAGAGTGCAGCCTTGATTGGGCAATATAAATATGACACAATTCATGGTTACCTAGTTTCATGGAACACACATGATTTTAATTATCTGATAGCCCATTCAGCCCTATTAAATTAGTTCTCCTGAAGGTAGTTTCCTATTGGTTTTATTAACTGAGACCAATGCTACAAGTGACTAAATAATTGGTTTACCTGGGATGAATGGAATTTAGTTGTAATCTTCAAACGAAATTCTTAGAATCATCTTGATTAGAGAGATAAGAGTGGCTCTGGTCATTCTAACTGAAGCAAGAAAATATGTTACTGGGATTCCATTTTTTTTCTAAGGAGACCAATCAGTTTTTCAGTGAAAGTTCTAAATGTGTTGTAGGTGCTTGACTTTGTCTGAGAAATTCTTCTGTCTTCTGGTTTTGCTGACAACTAGAATACACCCATTCTCAGACAACTGCTTAGAACTATTTATGTAGAATTTTCAAGAGGGTACAGTTTTCTTTATTGAGGGAATTGTTAATTTTACTTTATTATATTCTCATGTTCCATGTTGGAGAGTAAAAATCACATCTGCTTTGCAACTCCATGCACATTAGGAACATAGTAAAAAATTATTTTGTCACTAATTGTACCAGGGAAATAGCTAGCTTCAACAAAAACCATCAAGTTCACATAAGTCCTTGAGGTAACAAAATCACAGTTTTATTATATGCCGTGTTAATCATTATTGAGTTATGCACCTATTGATCACATTAAGTGGTGAATATTAGTGGCCACATAAATTTCATAATGAGATATTCCAGAATTACTCAAATTGTGTAACAAAGATAGTTACCCAAGCTCTGAAATGGAAATTATTGAATGTGGTCATAGGGTAGACTGTAGTAAAATTACTATAATGTCTATAGCAAGAAGCCAGGCCGGAATTTGACTTTGATGTGTTCTGTAAATTTCTTTTAATTAAACTACCCTATTAAAAAAAAGTTTAAACTGTGTTGTGTTGATACAAGCTAAAATTTACACACCAACTGACTGTTGAATTCACCCACTTGTGCCTTAATCCTTTGATCCCTAACAATGACCAACATCTAATTTCTCCTTACAATATCACCCCTAAATCAAACAAGAAGGTCACAGGAATGAAATACATGATCAGCAACTAAGGAGACTCTGGATTGTTATGCAAATTATCATTGTCAGCATCTTAGAGAAGGTATAAAGAATAGTATGGAGAATGTGCATGTCGTTGTTAGATTATGCAAGGTTGAAGATACACAGTAAAAGACAGTTGAATTCACATACCCTTTGCCTTAAGAGTTTGTATTTTGCCCTCATGGGCAATGTGGAAAAAGAAATTATTTAAATTTTTTCACCCTAATCATCTAAGAATTTCTGCAACAAACCCTTTTTTTCTCCCTGTAGAATGGGATGGAAGGAGGGGAAGGAATTTGGTTTTGGGGAAGTTTTCACTCCAGAGCTTTTGCATACCGAATCCTGGTGGGTTTTTTAAGTGCACAGTGAAGTGTGGATTGTAAAGTTCCGTTGAAATATTGTGAAATTACGAGTAGCCAATGATTTCATTAACAATATTGACATCAAAGTTTGGTTAAATCACGTTTCACATTTTGAACTGAAGTTACAGAAAACTAGAAAACTCTTTCTTTTTCTTTTCGATATTCCTTTTGCCATTTATTTCGAAGACGTTAGCCTCGTCTGTACTCTCAACGTAAAGTTGAAGTCCCGTAACGTCAGTGACACGCGCGTTTCACCTGTGGTGTGTGGTTGTGACAAAATTTTACGCGCGCGACCCTCCCTCGCCTAAAGTTCACTTCCTGTTTACACCCGAGGTTATTCAGTTCGCTCTGTGGGTATTTGAACGAATTCGTGGCTGGTCGTCGTAGTCTAAAGGTAATTATATAGGAAGAAAAGGTACGTACAGAAACAAATTTGAGAAATATCTGAGTTTTTTTTTTTTCGTATAAGTGACAGTAAGACGCGCCAAGATCTCGTGCCAAATGCAAACAAACGATTGAATCACGAGACAGTAACGAGTCAGAAACGAAGAGTGGGTGAATCATTTCGTATTTTTACCCCTCCACTCGTGTATTACAAACAAGGAAGTGATTTACCAATAAGGTATGGCAGTGAAAGACATAAGACTGTTTCTGCAAATGATTCAGAAAACGGCAGCTAAAAAGTTTGTAATTTAAGTAGAAACTCGCCAACATTGCATCAGGATACTGCAAGTAGTATATTGTGCACGTCGAAAATATCGCCCAAACCGTCTCGTACAGGTACGCTTATGTCTATCGATATCATGATCTTTAAAAATCTTGTAATAACCTTCTTTAGAAAAGAGTCGTTTAGTCAGAATTATTTCGTCGTGACGAACGCACATTTGATACGGTTTCCAGTCCAAACGAATGACCTTTCACGGGTTAAACTTCAGTTCAAACTTCGCGTCAGAAAGTCCAACATGTATGTTGAATTTTAAGATTGAAAAATTTGGAAAAATATTCTTTTTAGCAGTGAAATAGGACTTGATCGAAAGTATTTTGCTGTTGTTCTTTTTTTTTTTAAAGTATCACGACACGTTATGTACAATACCGAACTTAAATGACCTTCATCTTGCAAATCAAATGACAATGGTCAACATTTGTCTCCTAATTTATCAGTTGAAACAGTTGTCTGTGATGATATCCTTCTCTACTTGAGTGCAGCCTTGAATTTTATTTTTATAAAATAATAATATCATACACACCTACCGCAATACTGCTATATTACCGAATAAGTATTTTTAGAACGGAGACATTTCAGGTGGGCGATCACGAGACCATCATCAATTTGACACCTCCCGAGATCTTTATATAATTTCTTCTTACCTGTCTGCCATATATCTCCTGTGATTTCAAGCTTAAGAATTTAGCTCTCAATCAACATGTCCAATATATGTGTCCTCTTCAATCTTCACATTCTCTTTCTGCTTGACACTGTATCGAAATTGTAAAAAGACGTTTTTCATGGCTTACTCTATTGAGTAAAACGATTCAGCCACCCTGATCATTCCCCTGCGGTCCTTGATCGGATCTTAACGAAATATTGCCATTATTTTTGCTTTGAAAATTATTTTACAACACCTGTCAGTTACGTAATTCCTTAGTTATTTCCTGCTTTGAAAAATCCTGGATGCGCCCCTGAAAACGATACATTTTTTATGTTCCTAGTCATCAAGTTTTATTCCATTTAAATGTCGTCCTCTTTCGATGTAAAACTTAAATCTGTGCAAAAGGAGTCAGCAATAGAAAAAGCGCCAGGAGAAGCTTTGACTAGTATCTAATTTCCCCTTACACCGTAAGGGCGTAGCCAGGGGGGGTCCTGGGGTGCCCGTGACCCCCCCTAGGAGAGGAGAAGGTGGAAGCCTGGACTCCATTACTTTATAGCAGCTGGTAGTCAGTAGGCCTCCGAGGCTTGGGGGAATAAAACAAACCGGAAATCACATCGAGGTTGAGGGATGAATAACTTATTTCTTTTGCTTTATTCCCCTTAGCCCTGGAGCCATGTTAGAATTTTAATATATCGAAAATGGCCAATTGCTACTAAAGGTTCACTAGTTTTTGTCCTGTTCTTTTTTCCTGTTTGATTACAAGCGGCTTTTAATCCACCATTTCAATTAAAAAGAACAGTTCTGCCACTGCATCACCCAAATGAGATGTTAAGAACCAATTCGATTCGAGAAATCGAATTGGAAATCACCGTAAACAATGTAATGAACAACTAAAAGAAGTATCTTTTTCACTTTCTTTGTTGCTATTTTTTACTTACATTACACGTGGTTATTCCAAGCGACTGAATCTGCATTCTGTTCTGTTTTCATTTTCTTGAAGGTTTCTCCATTTCATGACTAGAAACCAGTTCCCACCCAGCGATCGGAACAACTTACGCTGCGACTGTTCAGCGACCCCGAGTTGTCAATTGGAGTGGAATTACGACTTTCATGAGGATCAAACCCACGTTTTGAGAGCTGATGGGTTAATTACCGAAACAAGCGTAGTGGTCACACCAACAGAGATAGCTAATTACCAAAACAAAACTCGGACTACGCACGATTTGATGCCGGTGGAAATCGCACAGCTACAAACTGACAAACATCCAAATATTAATACCCCAAACGGAGATTTTGAATATGTGAGTCTTAATCTTCATTTGTGGAAAAGAAAGAAATCGGACGGCGTGAGACACAAAATGGAGAAACACAAACCGAACTGCTATTATGGAAAGACACAGGAAACATTGGACGAAAACCAAGCCAGTTCTAAAAGTTCCAATGCTTGCCGTGGATCGCTTCCAAATCCCGATAATTACGTCTTTGGAATCGCTGAGAGTCCCGTATTTTTCTCCTCAATCGGGGAATGGACCATAGTTGATCTCAATCTTCAAGCTTTCGAGAAGGAAGAGGCAAAGCGAACACTTTATTTAAGAAGGAAGTGCACACCATACAAAGAAGTTGAACCGGAGCGTTTTTGTCATATTCTCTAAACTTCTCGTTGGTTGACTGAGAGAAACTCATAAATTACAATCGAGTTTTACAAAACTATTTTGAACACATACTCATAGATACGAAGCGTATTTCGCACTGGGGAATGAAGAAATTATGAAAAGAAGCATAGTTTTAGTTTAAGTTGGGAGTTTAACTGTAGGATCAGTCGAAAATGAAATGCAGGTTGTTCATTTTAGCCACTTTAGACATGGGTTCATTTGGAGAATTTTGAGCGAACAAAACTTGTTGCAAAACACGCCAAAGTTTTGTAAGTTTTGTTCAAAATGCTTTTCTTTTTTTCAAAACCACCAGATTATACGTTTACATTTTAACAAAGGATTAGTTTTAATCCTGTTTTAGCAAAGTCAGACTTTTAAGACGGAATTTTGAGGAATGCGAATTTGTCCTAGGAATGTACTGTCTATTGAAATCTAGCTTAACAAGCATAGTAGAGTGTTTTCCCGTGAGTTGCACTTCAAAAGATGACCGGAAGTCATTTGAGATGGAAGTAATTAGAAACCTGTGTGACGGAAGATACCTAAAAAAAACAATTGTGAAATAAATAACACCTGTATCCTTCAATGAGTGTTTCTGTGAAGTTCATGCCATCACTTCTTTTCTCAGTAGTGAATGCAGTATTGGTGTCAAAGATCGGTCGACTGATGACTAAGCTTAACGAAAGAACAGGAAGGCAACGAAACCACCGAGAGAATTGAAAAACAAATCACTTAACGAAAATGCACACCGGAAGTAACGAACAATTGTCATGTTCGTGGGGGAGGAATGATTGCGTGATGATGCCTAAGAACGTCAGCGCAGGAGGCTAGATTGTAAAGGGCCTCTGGCTTTTTCATTGAACAAATTATTTCCTACAACTTCATGTACCCAAAGCGATAAAGAAATTTATCAGTCCAAAAAAGTACTTTTCTCTCATTTATTCCAAGAGCTCCCTTTCCAATTGCAGATAATAACATATATCGCTTTTATCAAAAATTTATTTAGGTGGGCAGATCGAAATATAACAATGATGGCGCCCAAAATCGCACAGCTAACAGCGCTCAATAGCTTCAAGTGACAATCAATCACAAGGTCGGAGAAGAAAAAAAAAGACCGTTGCTGGGGCGGATCCAGGATTTAGTCAAGGGGGGTTCGGAGAACTGTTCCCCTTCTGAGGGGTTTAAGATATTGAAAATTAGGTCTTCGGAAACATGATTTCCAGCGTTCTGAGAGAAAATTTAGGGGGTTCGACCGAACCACCCGAACCACCCCTAGATCCGCCCTAGCGTTGTAGATCAAGATTAAAGGGTCTTGGGCACGTTTCCCAGAACGTGCATGTTACTTCTAACCGAAAAGATTGGAGAGGAGGAGGAAGCTACATTCCAGGCCTCCCGGCCTATACCGGGATCCACATGGCTGAATCAGTTCTACCCTATTTCCGGTGAAGGAATCGAACGGTCACGATTAACAGTCGATGAAGCATTCATTTATTTAAACCCCCGAGATTAACTACAGCCACATATTATGCAATCGTCCAAATAAACATTTTTTAAAGGTCAACGCATTAAGATATGATATTGGACTCGAGCTCGTCGCGTGCCCACCTTGCTTTTTTTCCTACCGTACATGAGCACCCCTGCGTTTCAAAGGTTTGCCTCCCACATTGTACGTAAATATACTGGCTTCAACTATAGGCATTCCACGAGTAAGCCACAACATTTTATTACCCTCGCGTATACGTTTAACTCAAATAAATGAAAAAAGTCCTAGGTAAAAGCGTGTGGAATTCCATGCAGACGACTGCGTTTTTTTGTTTTTTTTTCTGAGTTCGTGACATAAGAGGCAGTTATCAACATTTACCTCAACACCTGAATATTCCCAAGGGTCATGTTCCAACGGAAACGTTGAGCTTTAACCAGGAAATGTTTACTTATTCTAGATCGACTGTAGTTCTTTGGACCCTTTTGTCAAGATACAGATTCTCCTTAACTCTCATCATACATTCATTGTGGTTTTGGTTGTAAGAATTTACTTTAAACTCTCACTTTACTCTCTTGACCTGACATTCGTTTTTCAATTGGACCGATACTGACAAAAGGTAGTGACAGCAGCTCAAAGCAATGTAACACAATCTTGTGTCCTATTTTTTTTCCAGCGAGCGAAAAAAAACTTATAATAAACCTAGCTTTAATAAAATTTCTGCCTCTAACGTGACGTCCTGTTTGTGCACGGCTAGGTGACGTAGGAAAGACTCTTTTGGGGCTAGAAAGGGTTTCAGTTCATTTTTTCGCAATCGGATTGAATACTTTGGGAGAAACATGATCACAGCGTAAGGTATGTTCAAGCCCCAAAGAGATAATTCTGCGTTTTACCACGCAACGAACAATGTTCACTTTATTTTCATATTAAAGTTCAAGTGACAAATTCGTTACGACTACAAACCCGGTGAACTTTGATCGAGACTGCTCAACCTAAACGGAGTCATTGTTTAACTTATCGTATGTTTGTCCAATCAACGTGCTGCATTGGTGAGCGCCACGCTTATTTGCTATGACATTGCATCAGTAAGAGAATTAACACGTTTGAACTCGTTCAGCTATATAAAGACGAATTCATATATTTTTTCTAACAAAGTTCAGCTGTTGTCATTATGTCATTGTAGCTATTCAAGTGAACATGGCAGAGAGCTTTTCCGTCAAGCGAGGCCTCGTTGGATTACTTCCCTGGATAAGTGATAAAAAAGAAGACGAAACTTCAAAAGAAGAGTTTTCTGAACCAGAAATTCCTAAAGAAGAAACTCCTCAACCAGAAAATTCAAAACCAGAAACGCCTGAACAGGAAATCACTAAACCAGAGAAGAAGAAGAAGGTCAAAAAGGGACACAGACGCCATCGTTCGCTCGTCACTTCTAGCGAGTTGCCCATTCCAAGTTCTGGCGATGAACTAGAAACAGAGGATGGACAAGCAAAAACACTGGAAGACGAAAAGGAAAAGTCTAAGAGTCGACTAAGACGTGGTCTCACACTTGGACGATCATTTGCAATGAGGAGGAAGAATCGACGGGACGAAAACGAAAAACAAGATCCTCTGCCGACAGAGACCATTCCAGTAGCCGCCCTGCCGGTGGACAAACTAAACGTTGAGGAAGCTGTTCCACAACTGGTCAGTCAAGGCGAAGGTAGCCCTCATATTGGATTAGAAGGAGTCACAGACGCCATGGGCGAAAACATCGAAGTCCCAGATGTGACCGCCGATGTTTCGACAGTAATCCAAGAGATTCAAAATGAAGTTTCTGAGAAAATCGACCCCGATGCTGACGAATTAATGGAAGCGATCAAGAAAGTTGAGAGTCTCCAGGAATTACAAGAGAAGATTGGCGTGCCTTCAACTGGGACCTACTTGGAAGTGCACGCGATGTTCAAAGGTCTTGGATTAAGCACCGATAATTCTCTTCTGACCCACTCAATTTCTTCCCTACTTCAGTATGAAATGTCCTTGTGTGCCTATGGTTTTGGCCTCGTGAAGCTAGACGTTCTCTGGAATTCCCTGATGAATCGTGCACAACAAGCTAAAGAAGCCACTAGACAAGTTCTGGTGTATCTCATGGCGCCTTTGATCAAGAAATACCCTCAGTACTTCACAAGTGCGATCAAACGTCGAAAAATGCTCCAAAAGGCTAAAAAGAAGATAAAAGCGGCAAAACCGATTGAAGAGACACTTCTGTGAGAGGTAATGAACTTTGAGGAGGACAGTTTGAGTAGCTCACTTGGGTTACACGAATCTCGCGCATGAACTACCATCACGAGCTAAAGAAAAAAAAAAAAATGAGGATATTGATACGATCAAAGAACAATAGCTATGTTTTGGATCCTATTTCTGTTTCGCAACCACTCGTTAACTTTACTGTTGTTTCGTAGAAAACTTGACAATCAAATCAATATTTCATTTTTACATCGTATCGGATTTTTAAACCAAGCCGGTTGACTTGAACTGTTCTAACAATTTTCTCATTACATAACTAAAGAAGTCACTATGCTGTCATGGGGTTCCTTTTTGAGCGTTCTGAAGAAATCAAACCACGTTATGTAATAGAAAATCCTCGACATTGGCTCACAAAAAGAGGAATCGACTCTTTCATATTTTGATTTTTCAATTCATTTCTTTTATTGTTTTAAAAATCTATCTTTTGGAAATAATTTATTGCGAAAAAAAATAATCATATTGCTGAAACGTTTTGTCGAGGTTGATCCTTGCTTGTTTCAGAAAAATAAGAATTATTTCATTTAACACAGTGATAAAAATATTATAGATAGCCGCAGCAATTTGTTCAGTTCTGAACCTTTCAAGCTCCAAGAGCGAGACTTTTTTTTTTTTACCTTGCTTTTTTTTTTTACGTAACTTTAAGTCATTACGCTATCATATGATTTCTCCAAATTTTGTCACGCTCAAATATTATGTTGAAAATATTTAGGGTTGTAAAGAAACTTAGATGGTCTAGGTTAAGAAGAGTTCAAATGTGTTTGGTTTTGAAAGCATCGTTTGAAGAAAAATATTTTGGTAAAAAAGTTCACACCGTCTTCGTTATGTACCAGATTTTAGACAACCAGCTCAAATATTTATTCTATAGACCGCCAAATGCCTTTTTTTTTCTTTTGATTTCGAGTGAAGACTGGTTAAACTGTAAAAACATAACAAGAGATTAAACGATTATCAAACAAATGCTTCCAGGTCTGTCAATTATTTTTTTCAAACGGGGAAAATCGTGCGTTTGAAGTTTTGACGGCTCCGCCAAAGAGTATTTGACGGAACCTGTCCGCACTTCATTACACATGCAGAACGTTATAAAACAAATGTCGATGAATCATCAAAGCCCTCGAAGGGATCAGCTACCACCCTATTTTCTAACCTCTGAAACTTCAATTTATTTTCACCAAATTCAAGGTAGCCATAATTCTAGATCACTTCATCAAGGGTCCTTTCTTATCGAAACTACGGATTCGTTATTCTTACAGTAAATGAATAATCGATAACTTGCACCTATAAATAGCCCTGTTTACTAACTTCGATTTTTGTGTTTAGTATGAAAAAAGTCGAACTAACAACACCAATGAAAATCAAAACCTTCTTACTTCTCTAGTAATTCAGTCCGTTTGAGTCGCTTGAAAATCATAGAAGCTCGTTTAGCCTCCTCTGTCGCAAATCTTAAGTTTTTCACGCCCGCACTTCACGTAGCAAAAAAGCAACAATTTGTCCACCGAGTGCGTTATACTTCACATATCGCAAAAATTTAGCCTCAATAGTTCAGTCCGTAATTTGCAATTTGTACAAATATTTTTCACTCTTAATTACCCTCAACCTTTTCTGGTTTATTCTGTTCATTTTGGTGTTTTCAATCTTATCAAACTGATATTTTCAGGGCATTTTCCTTTAAGTTCAAGTAACTTGGCTCGTAACAACAGATTAGCATGACGTAATGTCCTTAACTGAACTCACATGAGAGTCATAAGGGATTTTAAGCTCGAACTTTATCTTGTTTACTTGTTGAATCCTCGTGCAGATCCAAAAAAGGAGCGAGTAAAGAAGAGCATATTCTAATTAAGCAAACAAAAAATACATTCTCCAGCGACCAAAATGGTTCAGGAAATGCGGAATGTTTTGCCATTTGCCGCCAATATCTACTCCATTGCCAAAAGTTCGTGTAAAATGTGGAGCTTGACCCCAGCGCTATATAATGAGCACCTAGAAAAGGATGAAGAAAACTGTTCGTGTATTGATCGCTCTCGGGAAGGAAATATTTCGATAAAAGCGCGCTGAAAAAAGAGCTTTAAGTACGCTCCGCCAAAGTGAACTCTTGAGAGAGCTACTGTTTGGACTAAGAGTTGTTTCGGTGGAAATTTTCGTTTCACGCGAAAAGAAGACATATCAAAGTTTTATTCAGGAAATCAGATTGTGTCTTGATGTAGTTGTTCACGTTCTTTACACATGTTAATCACAAATAAACTCGTGACGCAGCATTCGTGTTTAAACCACCGTGCTAGTTTTTACACCTTGCCAACATGTGGCAGAAAAAAAAGGAACCGCCTTTGAAATTATTCTGATTGGTTTGTTACACTGTTGAACCTACACTTTTCCCTTTTCCTCTAAGTATAAAATTCAGCTAAACCATCTCAGTGATAAAAGTTAAACGCACAATACTTAAATTGACGACGCGAAAAGCTCGATGTCAACCTGTCGATAAAGGTCTCACACAAAACACTCGTTAATTTCACGTGCATATGCATCACGTGACTGTCACTGTGACGATCATTGGACAGATTTGATATTTCTCTTTCATTTAAATTCTAATCATTTTGCAAAGGCAAGTTTGTAACGCAAGCGTTAGGATCTTTCTCAAATTTCGTTTTAAAATGGCAGAGAGTTCGCAAACAAGTGGAATCGACGAGCAGCTTTTCGGCGCCAAAGACGAACACAGCCGAGAATCGACGCCAAAAACGAAGAGTGGAAAAGAGGCAACAAAAACACAACCTAAAGGACATTTGGAGAGCGAGTTTAAAGGTCAGGAAAGTTCTTATTTTGCTTCTGACAAAAAAAATAGCGTTGATAATTCTGAGATGAAAATGGCAGGAAAACGCGAAATCGTTGAGGGGAAAGAGGCAGACGAAACGGCGACCGGTTTAGAAGAAAGCACCTCACAGGACAGCGAGAAAATCGCAACGACAGAAGAAACAGCTAAAGAAAATACGAACAAAGAAAGCCAAGGTGAACAGGACACTCAAATAACTCAAGACTTAAAGAGCAATGAAAAACAAACCTTCAAACCCGATCAAGCCAACAGCAGCAAGAAAGGGAGATTGAGTTTTCGCCGTTCTAAGAAAGGGAAAATTTCCAAACGCAAAACCTCCCTCGAAGAAGAAAAACGTGTTGAAATTTTGAAATGTGAAACTATCGAAGAGGATCCGAAGATCGTCGAGGAGAGGGCGAAAGAGATTTGTGACGAACCAGCGGATAAAGCTAACGAAGCGAAATTCGAGACTGTTGAAAGTACGATGAAGATTGAAAACAAAGAACCGTTTACTTCTCCCGAGGGAGTCCAAGACGACAAGTCCACAGCGACGGACAACAAAGGCTTGAATATGAAGCAATTTCCAAGTTTCCGTCGAACCACAAAAGGCAAATATACTTTCAGTCAAAGCGTTTACACTGACGCATGCGACGGCCATAGGCAACCATCTGAAAAATTCGAGAGCTCTGAAGATCCTCAGAAGATGGCCATAGAAGAGACTTCGTCGAAGATACCTGTTGTCGCTAACAAAGGTGAATCGAATGAGCAAGAAGATGAGAAAGAAGAAACAGTTGACCTTGCGAAGAAAGAGACCAGCAAGCAGAAGAAAAAAGTGACGGTTCTAAGCTTCAAGCGTAACAAACCCAGTCTGAAAAAACCAAAAGGAAAATCAATTAAAAAAGATGAGGGAAACAATAGTGAAATCAACCCGAGCACCAACATCGATGTGGGCAAAGAAACTGATGACATAAGCGTTATGGATGGTGATGCACTGCGCAAGCAAGCTGACTTTAAAGAAAAAAGTCCAGGCAATGGAGAAGAACACAAATTGATTGCAATGGAAGACGAACAGGCAACAGCAGAGGAGAAATCGGGCTCTGTTGAAGAGAAACAGGGCGATTCTCTCGAAGAAGAAAAGAACAGCACAGAAAAGGAAGACGATTCCGCCAAGGCGCATGAAGCGACAAGACAACTTTCACTCAAGAAGAAGAAGAAGGAAAATATTTTGCGTCGTTCATTCAGGAAGTTTACGAATCCAAGTTCTGCTCTACAAGGGAAGAAAAAATCGAAAGGGGATGAAAAAACTGCCAACGCAGATATGGGAGTAACAAAGAAGATAGACGAAGAGGACAAGAGTGAAAGTTCTGGATTGGAGGAAAGCGTTGATGTACAAAGTGTCGCCCGAAAAGAAAATGAAGAAAAGTTGACCGAATGCGAAGAAAATTCTAAGGCAGTGAAGAGAAAGAAGGAGTTAACAGACAGCAATCGAGAGTTGAAGAAGCAGAAAGAAGATGATGAAACTGAGATCCAAGACAAAGATGCGCTCGGAGAAACAGCTGGTGCTGTTGTTGTTGAATTAAAGCAAGACACAAAAACAACCGACGCGAAATCAAACGTGGTGGACGATTTGGAAAATGTGACAACAAAAGAGCTTGATCAAAAGAAAGAAAAGAACGCTGGTCAGCTGAATTGTAAAGAGAACAACGAGTTGTCGCCACAAGAAAACAATACCAACGAACAGAAGGAAGTGAAAGCTGAAGTTGAAATTCCAGAAGAGACTTTGGTGCGCAAGGACAAACAAATAGAAACATCCGCTAAAGCTGAAGGAGGGCATGTTGTCGAAGTACGAGTTGTTATTGACGAGCAGGCCAAGAAAGATAAACAAGCAACTCACGAGGAAGAAAGCAAGGGCAGTAGCGACGATGGAAATACCTTCACCGAAATCCAAGGTTTCACCGGAATCCAAAGGCAGATGAGTGAAACGAGATCTGAAGGTCGTCACCGCCATCTTGACGGATACGATTCGGATCTTACAGTAGTGACTGCTTTGGCTTATCCGTTTACCGAAGACGATGAATTATCGGAAAGCGACACATCGGGAACCGATGCCAATACCGAAGATGACGAAACGCAAGCCATTGCCGAAGTACATGTTATTCCTCCGGAAACTAAGACATCGCGTGTAGACGAGGCACTAGAAAACACAAATACCGACCCCGATACCGAAGACGAAGAAGTACGAGTCATTAACGAAGGAGTATCGTCCGACAAAGGGGTACTACGAGACGGAAACGAAGGCAGTGAGAAACTAGTTATTGAGCGCGAACATGAAGCGATAACTCCTACCCAAAGCAATGAGTTGGAACGTACATTGACGCCAGAGGAAGAGCGCGCTCTAAACGAAGATAAAAGATCAAAGAACGGAAGTGCTGTGCAGAGTTTACAAAGTTCATGTCAGAATCCTGCAGAAGAATGGATCATGGTACATCGGCTCGACATCACTGAAGAGATCGCAAGGCGTCTGATGACCGTGCTCACTCCAATTTGTAGGCTGAGGAGGAATGCAGCTTGCTGTACGGTCATGTGACTGTGTTGAGAACTGCTACGTAGCGTGCAATTGTTGAAAAAATATCCGTTAGTCAGCAATTAGGTTTGAATGCCGCAAAAACGAACTAACTGCTTTCTGGAGTCACTGAGAGGGCGCTTCAAAATACATCAACAAGTCTAAAGACTTAGACATTAAGTGATGATATTTCGAGTGGAATAAGAGTGCAAAAAAGTCGGAAAAAAAAAAAAAACCTTGCAAAGAGACAAAAAAAAAAGGAACGTGGATTGTGCCTAAACTCATAAGTACGTTTTGTATGCGAATATTAAGTTTACCTCGTAAAGATGAAAATATCAAATGAAAAAAAAAAACATTTTCGCGTTGGGAGATATATTAGAGTTAGACATTTAAATACACGGAATCAAGAAATATTTATTGTAAAATTATTTAATATTGAGGTTGTATAATTATTTTCTTTTTCGCTTTAATTGCATACGAGCAGGAAAAAAAATTAAGTGTATGGCATATTCTCAAGCTGGTTCAATCCAGTAACAACCCAGTGCTTTGTTTTGTCGGAAATATGTAAATTAAATTTCAAAAGTGTTCAAACAACTTTCTCAAAGCTTATGTTTACTCGCTTTCTATTCTGGACTGGAATTCTTGATGACGAATTCGGAACGCAGACTAGAAACTTATAGCTTACATTTCGTCATCGTGGAACATTTTGTTGTGTAGTATTCGCTGAGTATTTTTATGGGTTGTACCGTATTTTGACGAGTCGTAGGGTGAGTCAAAATACAAACAACTATTAAAAATTCTCAACGATACTAGGCGAAAAAACTTTTAATAAGAAATTTGTTATCCAGCACGCCAAATTGTTATTTCAGTGCGGGGCGAAATTTCGCGCATATTTATTTACTGGGACAGAAGTATGCGAAGCGGAACGGAATTTGTCGTGTTGCTGTTTCTATTTTCTTCACTGTGATCTAACTGCTTTTCTTCGTTCGATTTACCTGATAAACTTGGATCAATATTCGCCAGCCATTCCGACTCTTCGCCATTTTTTCGTAACTTCAATCCAATTCGTCGCAAGCGCGATGCGAGTTAAACCTGTCTCACCGGTTCTCTGCAGTACAAAACATCACGAGATATTTGTACTCGTTTTGGGCGTTATTTGTACTATACGAAGCACAGTTGGATAATAAATGCCCCTATTGCCCCACTGTCGTGGTCTGCCTCCTCCCCCCCTACTCTCCACCTCGCAAGGAAAATTACTTGTACTGTTGTTTCAATTGATAATATCTAGTTTCTTTTCCGATATAATACTAAGGTCATTAAGGAGATCCAGAGTTTTCTATTTGGTTGATAATTGTGTCACATTTTTAAGATAATTACTACTTTTAAAACAGCCACTGTGTGGTTTCAGTTCCGAATAGGATCAAAGGGGGAAGTGTTGGGAGGGAGATTTCGTCGTCCTTTTGGAATTTCATACGAAGCTGATGATTTGACAATAGTCTCTTCTTTTGTGGCCAATAAATACTAATCAAAAAATGGAACCTTCTGTCAGTTTTTATTTCGTCTAGCCGTATATTTTTGGAAACATTCATGAATATATTTACAGCTGGGTCACATGACCTGGTCGCATGAGTATCGTCATAATAATATTTCTTTCGTTTGCAAAATTCACTCTAGAACATTCCTTTTCCTGGATTTGATGACGATGCATTGTTTATAATAGTAAAACTGACAATTCGTTTAAAATTTTTTCATCATTGTAGTCATCTGTGAAAATCTATTCACGGAATTCGAAAAAATAAATTTGTGGCTTGTCAACTTGGTTAATTCAGGAAAAAAAATTTCCTGAATTTTATCAATTCATCAAGGTAGTCGATATTTGGATGACAAATCAAAACAACATCAAATATGAATGAAAAACACTGTTTCCCATCCCAAAAACCTCAGTCCAAAATCGCTGGTAAAACCCAGCCAACTGACTTTGCAATCAATTACCCATTCGAGGTAATAAATAATGGCGTAACTGAATATCTATCTTTTGCTACCTTGTCCGTAGACGTTTTAAGAGGTGTCACGCCACGCATAAGTAAACTTTGCGTGACACAGCATGACGAAAGCAAGACCCCTTCGGTCTTCTGATATCTTCTAACAAATTCACTTTACTATATTCCTTTCTCAAATAATTGTTTTTCGTTGTTTTCGCACGGTGAAAGGAACACTTGGTGTTCGATTGGGCTACCAGTCAAGAAAACATATCAAATAGCATTATTCTTGGTCTGTCTTGAAGACTTTCATGGAGTATAGAAATGTTATTTTAAGAATGAAAATAATCCTTTATGTAACCACTTCATTTTAGGTTAATATAAAGTTTAAAAAAAAATCCTCTTTAGAGGAATTCTTTTCGACCTTTGAACAGCCTTAATCGCTTCGTGTGTTGAACCCTTGCTGGAGGGTATCCGCTTCACAACCTCTATTTTTCCCACGCATCCTTTCAAAAGGTGACATCATAATTTAATTATTACTCATCTAACGCTGTGTTTACGTTTCCCAGCATTATCCCATCAGTCACGACACCATTGCCTGACGAGGAGACTGGCGGTGAGGGGGAGTTTGTAGGAGGCATTCGTCTTGTATCTTCTATCATAGAAGCGCGCGCTGAAGTTTCACCCCTGTCGGGTGGCCTTTCGTTTCTAATCCATTGCTACAAGGAAAAGCGGAACAGTTCCATTACAAACGAGATAATATTCATAGAATAAACAAAACGGCACACGATGACAAAATCACATGACTTTATCGCTTTAACCTTCTTTGTCTAACTGACTGGTTTACAACAGAATAATTCATCAAAAACTGATCAATGAATAGTTTATACCTCTACTTCATCGTCGTACATTTTTATGTTCAAATCCATTTTTGTCTTGGTCCGTTTTCCTGTATAATTAACCTGCATTAGTGTAATGAAATGAATGTACGTGAGTAACATGCCAATCTCAAACTGTATTTAAACAGCTGAACCTCAATACAACCGATCGTTATGCAGCCAGGACCTTGGCATAACGACCAACCTAATGCAGCCCAACAACTGTTAAAATGCATGGAAAAGAATCCTGAAATAACGAAACCCGTTAAACCTTTACACCCTACCATCAGTATGCATGTTCTCCACACTGCTCTCTATGCATTTACTAAGGTGCTGACAAGGAGAATTTGTTTAACAATCAAGAGCTCCTTTAGTTGGTGATCATTTCCTTAATTCTTATGACCTTAATAGGTTATTAAGGGTGATATTGTAAGGAGAAATAGTCACTCTTAGGGATTAAAGGCTTAAAACTTACGGTATAATTTGTGGGTCTCAGCCGTTTAATGTTATCTGACGAGCATAGGAAGTTATTTTGTGGAACCCTGGACGATGCTTTGTATTTTGTTACTTTTCGAAGCTTCTAAATGGAATGTTACGTAAATGGACATCATAACTCTAACGGTGATACAGGGCAAGGTGGCAAGGTCACCACAATCATTATGATACTTGTGGGATCTCTGATTAGTCCCTTAATGGGCCAGGAATATGAGTTGAAGTCGCTGAATTGGTGTTTAATGGCTCAAGAAACGTTCCTTTAATAACAAAGAGTTGAGAGTCGAACTGTTGAATGAAACATTGTTATTCTTACGGTCTGATTAGGCTGCAGATCTGTCACATAGCTTTCGCCTAAGTCCAGTAGCTCTTCGTAGGTCACAGAGATTTCCATCTTGATCTTCATATCCTCTGTCGAGAGATAAACCATTTTGTGAGTATTATATAAATTTTCCTCTGAGCGCAACTATCCCCCATTCTAACAAACAAAACAAAAACTTGATGCCACTTCATAGGATGTGTGCGTTTTGCGACCGTTTTCTTTTATTGTTGGTAAGTTTTCTTTTTTTTTTGGTTAGTTAAAAGATGACGCACGCCGCTCGGATTTCTTCCGCTGTACAACGTCTGTGATGCCACGAACGGTCTAAGAAACGTGATCTTTGGAGTAAGAATTAGAAGTTCAAAGAGAAAAGAGACAACGGAGAACGTTCTCAACACTTCAATGTTGTTATTTTATAGCGGAGTGGTTCAGAACAGTCTCGATTACAGTAATATCTGAAGCTCTTCACCTCCCTCATTCGTAAGATGTTCTTTTCTATATTGAATCCGGAAGAGGAAGGATTCCAGGATAAACGCCACAACAATCGTCATAACAACCTGGTCAAAATAAGATAGAAAAAGGGGATCCTTGATTATCAAGAACTGGTAAAACTATGATAAAAGAATTATTCTCTAAAAGCACATAGAAGTAAATAAGAGAAGCGACAAAAGCCTGAAATGTTTCGAAAATGTTTTGAATCTTTCTTCACTCAACGAACAGAGCCAAAATTTACAATTTCTCTCATTCTCTGTCTATCTCCTCGACACTTTTTACATTCCTGCTGGGAAGCGCGTCGCATATGAACCTGGCAAGTAACTCTCTAAAGAGTAGTTCTTTTTAATTTACATTTGTCCAAAAGTGACTAGGATGAAGTCTACAATTGTTCACAGAAGAGCCGATAATGGGGGAGGGGTCCTTAGAAGACAGCGGCACATACCCAGCAAAAACTGACCTAAGTACCTACCCTTTCTCCAAGGCCCCATTTAATCAATCCTTGTTTAGAAATTATGTAACTTTAATAATCGGTGACGTTTTCAAGACCTACCATTGTGACAATGTAAAATGACATAAAGAATAATCTGGCCCAGTCTGATGTCATGAAAACTATCCCCTCCTATCAATAAATATGAAAAGATAGACATGAAAAGGCAAGAATTAATAAAAAGGTTGCAAAAATTAAGTAATTTGACCGCAGGGTAACCAGGTAAACATTTACTAAGGCTGATGTGGGAGGAACGGTGGCCTCATGGTTGGTGAGCTCGACTCCGGATCGAGTGGTACGGGTTCGAACCTTGGCCGGCGACATTGTGTCGTGTTTTTAGGCAAGACACTTTACTCTCACAGCGCCTCCGTAATCAGACTTACAAAGGCTACTCCAACTTAACACTGTCGGAGGCTTACGACGCAAATGGAATACTGAAACAATCATCGTGTTTTCTTACCATTATTATGAACCAGTTGTTAACCACTGTCAACTCGAACAAAGTCACTGGGAAGAAACGTAATAAAAATGGAAATATATGATCTGATAGACTTTTCTAAGGGAAGGGCGGCCATTTTGATGAAATTGAGAATATTGCAAGTATGGGGCAGAAAGGGGGGAGGGGGTGATAACTGAGTTGGAGAAAAACTTTTGAATTCCAAATTACCACCGTGGACCCACCGTGTCAGTAAAAGGCTCAAAATTTTTAACATGATGGACTATTTCTATTAAATGATTTAGTGATGTCATGAAATATTTTTAATAAGTGTATGCACATTCGAGTTTCTTTACAGACATTTACATTTGGAGGGTAAAAAGAAGTATTTTGTAGTGCGGCGGGGTGATTGCGGTTAGGCTTGGTTAACAGCCGCTGTTTGGGAAAGGAGATGGCGCTCACCCGACGGGAGGTTCGAACGAACACTGGTTACGGGAAAACAAGAAAAATTGAGCCTGAACAGAAGGTTTCCTTTACGGTGTGGTTTAGCTATCAATAACATGGAAACTAGCCATTGTTACACTAGACATCCGTGGTTCGTTACATCAAAGTTCTTCTTTCATTCTACTTAGTTATTTCTGGTTCTTCCCCATTTGTGGTAAGATTTAACCAGACAAAAATTTAAAGACACTTACCGTATGAATGCAACAAATCATCGAAGTTATTTAAATAATAATAACCACCCTCTTTATATTCTTCTTCCCACGATGTGTTCCTGTGCGAAGTAAAAATATATATACATTTAATAAGATAAGAGATACATTCAGAAATACCAACACACAAATCGAACCGTCCTACTCATTCTCCTTCAGGTATCAGTGGCTCTGAAAATGCTTGTCAAGCGAGCGATTTTTTTCGCTTTTCCCAGGGATGATGGGGTACGTCGATTCTACTATTTCTGGTTCCAGACAGAAGCGGAATACTACTTCCCCGGCGATCGATTTACATTATATTCTTTTCACGTGGAACATTAGTTCGAGCTTAGTCTTCATGCGGTCGTTTCGGAAAACCATAGTTCGTTTGAGAGACTACTCGTAAATAGCTTTAAGGGAATTTACTTCCCCCTCTCTGACCCGTCAGTTCCGCTAGATCCATGAGAAAAAACTGAATAATCTTTTCAAGACTGTAATCGGAACGAAGAATACTTACACACAAAAAAATTTTAGTTTTAGTCCAGAGAAGCATTCTATTCCAATGATTCCAAATGAGTAGTACATCAAAAGGATGACTATGGCAACTCTGAGAGAATAATCGTTTCTTGTAAGTAACGCCAGAACTTGGGCGAAAATGTCCACCTCACAGGAGCTAATCCTGATCAGCGAAAAAAAAATAAGAAGTACCCTTCCCCCCAGCTTTTTCTTAGGTTTCTCTGACAGTAAAAAAACACACATAATTCCACGTAGTCCAAGCCAAAGAGCAAAGTGTCCAGCTAAAAAAAAAAAGAGAAATAATCCGAATCGGGCTCGAGACTGGAACGTCTGTTCTGCAGAAAAAAAACGAAGACGTTGCGTGGCAAGTATCATTCTCCATTGTCGCGCTCGACCAAAAAAAAACAATGTCACGCCTACCCAACAATGTTCAATTCCACCAAAACAGAGAACAAAAAAACTGGCCATTCGAGGTAATAAGACACCCATTGTCTCAAACACGTCACGGTATCTTTCTTTCAATTTAAAAAGTCTGCAAAGAATATAATTGCTTTAGTAACATGAAAAAAAAAATTACATGTTTTTAAAAAAACTAAGTACTCACAGGAGAAGTCTCAAGGGAAAAAAACAGACGATAAAACTGAAGGATGTTGAAACTGCACCAATACAGCCAGCAAAAAAAAAAAAGAAATCGAATCTATAGGATAGGGTTAACATAGGATCGTTTAGTTCAAAAAAAAACAGAATATGGATCAATATTGAATATTGAATATTGAAGCACCTGCGCACAAAAAAATCACCCAACCCGACCACAGTCAACTACTAACACTTGAGGTAAGATTGTTAAAAAAATAAGGGAGGGGTAGGTGCAGAGATAATGACATTGATCCCAGATTATAAAAAAAAAAGGACGAGGAAAACTCTTCCAGAACATATTTACTTTCTTTGGCTAACATCTGCCGCTGTGGGATTTTGTAAATAAAAGTTTGACATATTTCAAAGTTTTGTCCTTAAAAAAAACAAAACAAAAAAATTAATAAATAAAAACAAGTATCGGCAATGTATCTATAAAAAAACCTTTTAATGTCTGTTTATTTTAATGCACAGCGCTGTACACTGTGCGAAAAAAAAACAGTGGACCAGCCAGTGTCGTTATTCACGGTTGTTCAGAGTTTGAGCGATTGCGCAGCTCCGAGAAAAAGTTAGTGACGATTCAGAATAACGATAACCTTAAATGTAACACAAGAAAGCACGGCCAAAGCTCCGTTTTTGAATACTCACATATTCCAGCCAGAAAGGAAATATTTCCTTAACCCGAGACCAAGGATTTTGAGTAAGGCTTCTGCTACATAAACTGGAAATATTAAAGTTGCAACGTGAACATCTCAAGGAATTCATCAAAGCTTCAGGGATACTTTAGTCTAAGGAAATCTTCGTGAATTATCAAAAATAGTCCAGAGAAAAAAAAGAACCAACCTTAAACCTTTTACAAAGATAAATCAAGCGCAAAATCGAGCTATACATTTCTTTTTATCTTGTATTTTAGAATCAGTTTTTAACCATCCCAATCTTACCTACAGTGACATTTGCAGTTGTACATGTTAGCTTTTCATAACGAACCTAGTTGTTACACATACATAATACATTTTTAATTCTGTATGTCTAAAGCTATTTCGTATTTTTTTGTACGTACTTTGAACGAGCTTTCTGGCTCACTAGACGCTGCGAGGGTAAATAAACGAAAAAAAGACGTTTGATTGATTGAAATACAAAATTATGACGAAAAAAATAAATGTCACTCTGATGAATCAACTCACTA